TCAACCCTAAGCCCTAAACCCGAATTGCATCTCCAAGGCCCGCATAAGAAAGGAGCCTGCCTGAAGGATGAAGAGCTGTACCTGGGCAAGCCCCGGGCTTACATTATAGGGTTTAGGGTTCTAGGGTTTAGGGTTTTTAGGGTTTTTAGGGTTTAGGGTTTTAGGGTTTGGGGTTTAGGGTGGAAACTACTACATAGTATATTGGGGTTACATTGTAGGGTCTATATCGGTGGTTGTCAAAATGATGGTCCCTTTTTGGGTACCCTAAATATTAGGTGTCGTATTATACTAGGCATGCAAAAAGGGACCATAGTTTTGACAACCACCCATATTGGGGTTATGGAGGGATAGTAAACAACATGGAAACTACTATATTGGGGTTTAGGGTTTAGGGTTATTGCCTCCAATAATGGAAACTCAAATGGAAAAGACTATGGAATATGAAATGGAAACTCGGATTATGGAGGGAATTATGGGGGTAGGGTTTCGGAAAATTAGGGATACCTTTTGGAGGGGCCCAAGATTAAGGATTATAGTAATTTGGGATCTATATTGGGTCCCCCTATTGATGGAAACTACCACATTGGCTTACATTTTTCCGGGGGTCAAATCAGCGTGTAGAATCTCGATTGTTTGAAGAGGGGATTCAAAGTGACTTCTTCATAGCGCGTTACAAGCTGGCCCGACGACTTTGATTTTGCCGCAAGTACTGAGCCTTGGAAATAGCAAGGCTTCGAGTTCATAAGATGTTTTGGCAATATAAGAAGTCATAACTTTTTTTGCATTAGGGGCCGAAGGATTAGAATAGCTTATCATAGGGAGCTTCATGTCGCAGGACCTAGCTACTTTTAGTGGGTTGTTGAGAGATTCTTATAGGGTAGGTTGAACAGGGTGTTTGGACCTTGTTGTGACAAGGAGCGTGATTTGCGAAGTAGTTCCAGAATACAAATCAAGAACTCGCCATGCACAGCATGAGGCTTTGTGACTTATTGGGGGTTTATAAAGGAGTAAGTATCTTGGGGTTATCTAGGGATACTGGAAAAGAACATGGAAATTATATTATAGTAGAGTAAATATTGGGGTTATAGTAGGGAAGATACTGTAAAAGGGATTATGTAGGGATCATATTCTTTTCTCCCTACTGACCACCAGTAAGCTGAAGGAGGGTAGCTCATCCTGGCTTCGAAGATGTTGACCCGCCGGTCCAGTTGCTCCCCCAATGCCTATTCAGGAAAGGGAAGGAACAGATAATGGGGATCATGTACATCAAGCTCTCAACCCTAGACCCTAAATCCTAGACCCTAAGCCCGAAACCCTCCGCTGGTTTCAATAAAAAAGCCTTAAACCCTCAACCCTAAATCCTAAACCCTAAATCCTAAACCCTGGGGACGCGTTCCGTCATTCCTACTAAGCGCTAGACTGTGCTGGGAATGCTCCTGCCGAGGTGCTTCAAAAAATGTTCAAGCCTGACTGGAAACAAGTGCGCTACACCCTGGAACTGTACATTGGGGCTTCCCCAAATTAGCGGTACTTTGTAATAGGGTTCCCCATAATAAGGTTTATAGTATTTTGGGTCCATATTGCTTCTGCAAAGGACTAGGGTTTCGGGTATGTGTTGCAGCAAACGCTCAGTCCGAGCTGTCTCCCAGTACATCGAAGAACTACAGTAGCTTGGGCATCCCTAAGTAATTCTGATATATGGGAGTTTCCCAAAATTAGGGGTTCTCTTTGGGGGATCCTATAAGAAGGATTATCGTATTTTGGGTCTATATTGGGGTCTCCCTTTGCAGGGAAGATGACATTAAGTATGTAGTAGAAGCAGTATGCAAGTGCACGCTCATCGACTGAAACCTGCTGTCTCCAAACTCGTCAGATGTAGTTGCGGTACAAGTCTGAGCAATTGTTGCCGTATTTGAGAACACACCCTGGCACTGTACATGAAGGTTTCCAAGAATTAGGGGTACCATTTTAGGGTTCCCCAGAATAAAGATTATGGTATTTTGGGTCCACATTGGGGTCGCCTTATTTATGGAAACTACCACATAGAGCTTCCAGCTACATGTATGGGAGTTTCAAGAGTTCGACAGAGTTATCTTTGTAGAATCCCTGCGCAAAGGGCCTGCTGATTTATGCCTGACGCAGCCGTGCCAGCTGCGCCCATCCCGTGCAGTTCGGAGTTCTGGCTGGAAGGTTTTGGGCGACCCTCCCCAAACAAACACGGACGCCTTGTAGCCCCTCTGTAAAGCTCCTTGTAGAAGGTCAGTATCCTATGTAGGCCCCATCAAGTATGGAGTGGTACATTACCCTGTCCCTTCCTACTCCATCCGCATCTTGTTCAACCTTCGTTTGCCGGTGAGGTTTGTACAGGAGTGGGTAGTATACCGCAGATTTGTTTAGGTTTAGTGCTTCCTAGCTTTTAGCCTACCATCTTGCCGGCCTAGTCTGAAGATAGAGCCTCAAGCGCAAGTTACGTACAAAACATGGCATCACAAGATTTTGTAACCTACCATGGGCTTGACTGAATAGGGTTGGCTCATACTTGGGTAATCTAAACTCCTGGTATCCCCCTTAATAACCCCTAGAACAGTCCCCATACAATCCCCTATATAACCCCCATTTAGGGAGTTTGGGGGCTGGCAGCTTTGAGAATGACTATTCTGGCACACGCTTACACTCACGGTGACAGTATGTCTCATGGTTTCTCTGTGCACACTCCCCACATGCCCTGGCACAGGTACATGATCCGAACTGGCGCCGAAACTTGCTGCAAGCCTCAGATGTTCTGCAATCCAAGTTGTTGTTCACACACCTGAGTTGATGTTCACGAGCCATCATAAGCAACCCACTTGAGAGCAGCCCCTGAGTGCTTCTGCGAGAGAATCAGGCTGCAGCAGTGAGAACGTGTTTGCGTGCATGAGCCCCACCAACACGAAGTTCTCTCCTGCTCTTGGCTCAGCTTGCCTTCTCTGGTGAGGCTTCTGTGTGCAGACCATCTGGTTTGGCTTTGCTCTTGCCATGCCAAGAACTTCCAATATGAAAACTTGCCAACCCTTCTAGCCTTGGTACAGCTCAGGACTTCAACGTCGGAGGAGGCATGTCCAGCAAGGAGCCGCAAGTCTGAAACGCCTATGTCCCTCTGAGCACTGTTATTTGCTTATCTGCAGCTTACTTTCTGGTTACCAATTGCACACGACATGGCTGCTTTAAATTGTTCTGCAGGAGTCCCAGCCTCACAGCCCCGAAGTGAAGCTGACTGTGGGATCCTCAGATTCTGATTTCATTCAGATCATAATTCCACATGGCTGCGTGCAAGGAAGAGGCTCGCCCTTTGGCTGCTGCTATAGTAGCTGCTATAGCAGCTTAAAGAGTGTGCATGTGGGGATTGTCCTAAATTGCTGTAAATACGGGGTCCTATATTTAGGTTCCTATTATAATACGGGGCCCTACATAAATTTCCCCCATTTTGGGAACTGTAATTTAGGGAAACTTTCATGTGTCAAAGTTTGGGTCTCGACGCATGCCCCTCAGCAGTGGGACCTTTCACGCAAGGATGCTAGGACTGCTAGGATCTAGGACACGCCCAAATCACGCAGAGAGAGATTCTGTTTCAGACAGCCTGACCCGAGGAGGCAAGGTGATGGGGAATTACAAGGCGCCCGACCTTGCCATTGAAAAAGCAACATTTTTGGTTGATGAAGGGCACAGCATAATCAAACCATGGGTGTCATCAGAAAAGCAATGGTAGTCATCATACGGCTTAAGACTATGGCTACGACTGCCGCTACGACTATCACTACGGCTTCGGCTTCGATAACGGTGGTGGCGCCAGTGACGCCTTGTGACAGTGCTGATACCAACCATATTGCTAATACTAATATTCATGGAGAATAGTACTCTCAAAGTAAGAATATTCCGTAGTAATAGCAAACACATAATAATGTTGTTCATAATGATACTAATGGTAATGCTAATATGCAGGCGGTGGGAGGAGGCACAACAGCAGCTGCAGCAGGATTGCTACTACTAGTTCATTCCTAGTGGTTCTATTTTCAATTTCAGACGGTATTTTTCGATGCCACCACAAGCCGCTGCTGCCATCACTGGATGCTCCCGCCACGATCGTCACCAGACACCAATATGGAGTGCAGCCAGGTTGCAGCACGCCGAAGCGCGAAGCCGCCAAAAGGCGCCACATGCCTCTGTAAGGCAGTCTGCCGGAGCGAAAGAAGTATGACAATACTTAGCAAGTCATGCTGTCAAGGTTGTAAGTAGGGCCAGAAATGAGAGCAAAGGCAGCAGAATCGTCTGCAATCGCAAAGCCTTCATGTGCAGTCTGCCGAGCTGTGTGAGCTCCCACGTTGAGGGGCAAGCGTCAGTTATGCCAACATGCTATATCTTATTTTTGCACTGACAAGACATGTTCATTTATGTTGCTTGTTGCCTACCTGTCCAGATAGAATTGTTGCATTAGCTTTTTCAACCTTGGTGGAAGACCACCTGAAGACCGCCAGTTCAGACTTGGCTTGCTTCACGGCCTCGAATGCATGCCTGGCTTGCCACAAAAATAGTGGCCATGTACAATGGGGTTGATGCCGAACTGTCAAAGTCAAAATCAGCTGCGCGATATGGAACGGACTGCAAGTAAGCGACCGCCGAGCTTTCTGCTAAGCAGCAACTTATGTTTGTCTGTGGCCGTCATGGTTCAAGAGTTGTCGGATGACGATGACATGCCGTGGTAAGCAACTCCATGGTGATAACGCGGTGCTGCAAAAGCTTTTGAATCTGGTAGGCAACTGATCAGAAATTCCCTGACAGTGCTGATTTTTGTGTGTCTAGCCATCGCCACCCAATCTGACTCCAAGTTCCCCTAATCTAGCCCACTCTAGCTGACTCTAGCTGTTGTAGGTAGGTTTCATGGAGCCAACTGAGCTCGATGCCTTCGAGGCAGCTGTGTCGGCTCTTCATGTAGCGTGCCTCCATGGCGCGCTGATGTCTAGTTGACCTTGATCCTGGGAGTTGATACAGGATTTGGCTGACGAAGAATCAGTCGATGATGTTAATGATGGTGATGATGTCGACGACTTACTCACTGCTAGTTCTATCTAGTTCTCATGGTTGTAGTAGTTGGAACTCCTACCAGTACTACTCTGAACGCCAAGCGTTCAACTTACTGGTTCTCAGTAATTAGGGAATACGGGAACGCCATCTCTATTTAATCCCTATACAAACCCTACATGCTGTATGATGTATTCCCTTATTTACTACTAACCCCCAGTAAGAACCGTTTAAGGATAGTTGACAGGTCCCAAAGCCGCCCGAGACTGGCGACCCAGTGGAGGTCAAGGAGACCGAGGGGAAGAGGCATGGCAGCCGCGGGGTATTCTTTTGGGCTTATGCCTACATATGACCTATAGTTTAAACTCCTTACAGGGGGATATATAGGGGTCTCCTATAGGCTTATTCAGGGGGATACTAGGAGTTTAGACTATGGTTCATATAAAGGTGTGAGTACATAAGATGTGTATCTGTGTGTATATATATATATCTATACGCACACATGAAGATTCTGGGAGGTGTTATACTCACAACTACGAGTTCTCCCTTTCCTTTTAGGAGCCCGTTGTTTGTGTTTGTACGGGGACCCTTTTGGGAACTGCCAATCTTGTGCTGAACCCGACTGGTCATGAGAGCTTTGATGTTGAGAGGGTTTATAGTCCAAACAAAGCCCCTATGCAAAACTTTCTTCATACCTTACCCATACAATCCCTATGTGGGTAGTTCCCAAACAAAGGTCCCGTTTTGGTACCCCTAAATATTAGGTGCCGTAATATCGTCTATTACCAAATATGGGGCTCGACTTTTGGGAAATGCCCATGCGGACAGGCCTGCACTTCCCTCATGGACAGTGCTCCCATGGCATCTGAGCTGCACGCTGCTGGGGTCTAGGGTTTAGGATTTAAGGTCCTAACCCACGTTTGAAAGGGGCACTGCGTGGTGGCGATGCCTGGATTCATCTAAGTTTCAGGTTGTGGCTCGGTTAGGGCCGTGTTGATGAAAAGAATGGTTGTACCGTGCACACAACAGTCAACTGACAGAACATATGCAATTGTAACAGGGCACAGACGTGCGGAAGACAAGGCTATTGACGTCTACACGAGCAATTGTCCTGGCGCATTCTCCTTGGCCATGTCAGGATTGTGTAGCAGCAGTTTAGCAACCTTGTTGATGTTCGATTGCAGGGCTCATCCATGCTCATCCAAAGTCTGCAAAGACCAATGAGTCGGGTTTTCCAGAAGTGAGGGGCCAATTGTTGTCCCTTAATCAGGATTGCAGTAGATTGGGGACTTTGTTGAGGCCCCCTATTTCTGAAAACGCCCAAATCTTCTCAAGCAAGTCTTTCAGCCCTAGGGCGCGTAGTTCGTATGCAAGGCGGCATTGGAGAGACGGCCCTCTTAACTTAAACTCCCAAACCCCTGCAGGCTAACAGTATACTTGTGTAAGGTCCACTGGTTCCCTATCATCCTCCTCCACCCTGAAACCCTCAAACCTAAACCCTGCAGTCCCGATTCGTCATGACCCACAACGTAAGCCAAAACTTTGGAGTGCCGAGGTAGTCGCTAAAATCCCTTTGAACCCTGCGCTCTAGATCCTAGCCTGCTCTGCGACCCACACATATTCTCAAAAAAGTGTGGCAAAGAACAATTTGTAGATCAAACACCCTTCAAGGCTGGCTTTGGTCGCCGCCTTGGTCTTGGTGCCGCTGTCCATCGGCGCTGAGCTCGCCGCGGAGCTGCGGGTGGAGGCTGCACTTGGGGGTCCTTCCGTGCGTAGCATAGGATCCTTACACGCTGGAGGCTGGAGAACCAAATTCTCCAAAGCGCATCGTGTTTGGAACAAGGATTGCTTTCTAGATTGCCAACATGTCGCGTGTCGTATCTAATCGCTAGCCGGGCTTGGGATTCAGGCCTTGAACTTTTTTGTGTAAGGAGGTTTTTACCTGACCAAGCTCAGCTGGGGCCTCACACAGGCTGGTATACCATCATTCTCTGGCCTGTAAAGACTTTCGACTTTGAGATGGCAGAATGTCGAACCTTGCTCGGCTTGCTTGAGACAAGCCCTTGTGAAGGCTCAGCCAAGGGCTGGGAGAGACTTTTGCTATTAATATGGCAGGCTGTAAAGAGAGGGAGAAGGGGGTGGACCTGAAATCTTCAGAAGTACTCACATTGAGATCGCCTTTGTCTGGGATTTGATACAGTCTGTGCTTCTGCCTGATAACCTGCGTGGGCGGCGGAACTGAACTGTCTAGCTGAAGATGGTTTAGGACACTTGCCAAAACTAATTGCAAGAAATCCACACCGCAGGGCCTTTCGGTAGCAGGGTGGTGCCAAAAGCATGTAAACCATTTAAACTGAGCGTGGATCCAACAATTCTTTACGTGGCAGAAATGAAGATCCCCTCCCCTAAGCTAACGCAGGAGGTGGGTCGGCTCCTTGTCCAGTAGGTGCATAGTTGTGGAAATCATGGGTCCGTTTCGGTTGCTCTGATCCCCAAACCCCAACTCCCAAACCGTATGCTCTGCCCTTCAAACCAGAACCCCCAACCCCCGAAACTCTATGCCTTACTCTCCAAAACCCCATTAACCCTATACCATCCCCACGTGAGATAGTGGCCTTGCCAAGGGGCCGTTAAGGGTGGGCATAAGGATCCTTCCTGTAGTTTAGTATAGTCCCTCATATATCCCAATAGGGAACCCATGTCCAGTTATTGATGGGAAGCATCAATTAATCATAATCCCTCAGTTACTATCTTGGGAAATACTAATTAATTCCTATAATCCTCTATATTATCCCAGTTTCCATTTCATCCATGTACCCATTATGGTATTGTTTGTTGACAGGCCTCTGGCCTGGTACGAACCTCCACAGGAGGCAGCGTCGGGCAGAAAAAGGGTTCAGGATGAGGGATGCAATCAAAATTTCGGGGCTTCCCTGGGATAGGGGTTGATGTTGGTTTACGGTTTGGGGTTGTATGGTTTTAGAGTTGTAGGGTTTTAGGGGTTTAGGGTTCCAGGGTTTTAGGAGTTTAGGGTTTAGGGGTTTAAGGTTTTGGGGTTTAGGGTATGGGGTGGGTGAGGGCTAGCAAGGCCCAGGAGAGCCTTTGGCACAGGATGGTGAACTTGAAATCCAACATCAAGGAGCTGAGTACCAGGTTTATGGTTATATGGGCAGTAGTTAGGGAATTACTGGGAACCACCAAAGGGTTAAATCCTAAACCCTAAACCCCAAAACCTACTTTTATAGGACATCATACCTTGCAAAAAAAGGTCCGATAAAACAAGTTTTGTTTATAGGGTAATGCGAGTACAGGTTTGGTTGAGACACATGCCGCAGGCCTGTCTGCTGGGTGTAGACTCGTGGCCTGCGTTATAGTGGAAACCTTTTTGTCTGGCATATCATTTAACATGGGGTTATATAGGAAAAGAAGGTGGGCAATACTATTTAGGGTTGAATCTATTTCCAACGTGCGCGATTTCCGCGTGGTCTCTATGTTGTGGTCCTGTCTGGGGTAAGAAGTATTCATAGCTACCGGACGACTGCGTTTTGGATTTCAGGTGTTGGCAGGCTGAGGTAAAGGCTTAATGCCCATAATGCAGGTTCAGCTGTCAATCAGTACAAGCCCCACCATGGTTTTGACTTCAGTGACGCCCATGCAGTGGGACAGGCAGGTAGCGAAGCAGCCATGCGTCCCAAACAATACCTTCCACCGAACATTTCTTTACCCCTCTACTGATCCAACACTGGATAGACACTCGTGTTGCTGTCATTCATTCAAGGAGCAGTCGTATGCCCACATCCGAATTCAACCCAACTCCCGAAACCCCTAGGCCCCTGCAACGCCTAAAACCCTCAAACCTCTAAGCTCAAGGCCCCCTTGCAAAACATCTTACCCCTACGGAGCCAGGGACTGCGGCTGCAGCTGGGGCCACAACCCGAAGCAGCCTTCAAGCGCTGCAGACGCTGCCTGAGGTAGGGAGCCATATTTGAGGGTTTAGGGTTTTAGGGTTTAGGGTTTTAGGGTTTTAGGGTTTTAGGGTTTAGGGTTTAGGGTTCAGGGGTTTGTGAAAGTTAGTAGCTACCTTGGGTACACAGTAAAGGTGCTATATATGGGGATGCGTAAAGTGTAGGGTTTAGGTTCGTGGTTTCTGAAAAGTACGGCACCCTGAGGGATACCAGGCATACTTGAAGATTATCAAAGGCATGTAGGCCCTGCTTGAGGAGCATATGAACTATAGTCTAAACTCCTAGTAACCCCCTTATTAAACCTTATAATGCTCCCCGATATAATGCTCTGTACAACCTCCTTTAAGGAGTTTAGACTCTCAACCCTAAATCCTATATAATCCCCTAATATAACCTCCTTTAAGGAGTTTAGACCCTAAACCCTAAACCCTAAATAATCCCCTTCAGACTATAGCTCATATAGAGAGTATCTTGAGAATTCCCTCTTCGATTGTACTTTTAATTTCAATAGTTCTGAGAAATTGCCGCTTCACTTCCGGTCCCTGTAAGTTAGGATTTAGGGTTTAAAAGACACTAAGGTAAGCGGGGTTTCCTCACCCAAACACATTCTGGCAAGTTTTAGGGAGAGGCAGTTTCACCAGCTATCACTTGGACTTGTGACGAAGAGGCAGCTGATGACAACTAGAGCAAGCTTCTATGATTGCACTAGTGCCTTTCAGTACATTTCATTGCTTCCGCTGCTCTTGTTCTGGGGTTGAAATAGGATCCAGGTAGGGCTGCCAGTTGGAATAACTCTTAATGGGTGATACTGGATGATATGTCTGCAGGGAGGGGTTGCGAAAGTCTGACTTTTTAAAAAGCAGAACTGAACTTGGGCTCTTTTTTGGTGAGCCAAGGCGCACGAGTCCTTGACTAGTCCTGAGTGATTTAGACCACACTCATCCTATCTAAATCTCCATGAAGAAGCCTCTGCTGCAAGGCAGACTTACGTCGCATTCGAGACTGCAGCTTCGTCCACCGCGGCGCTTTCTATCGCTCCAGTCCCAGATTCCTGGCTGTAGTCGTCTCCACAAAATGAATCTTCGGAATCCAGTCTTTAGGCTCTGTACTTGAAGGAATACTGGCGGTGGCAGATGAACTTCTGCGGATGTTCAGTCGATTTGGCATCAGACATGTCAAGCAAGGCTTGGCAATATCCTAGCAATGGCTGGCCTTGCCTGCCACAGGCCACATCCAAACCCTGAACTCCTGTTGAGTTGCTTCCCTGAAAGCAGCACTACGGTGAGTACCAGTACCATCAGATCAATTGGCCATATCGTCGTAATGGTTCTGCTGCTTCGGCCACTTGACCATTAGTGCTCCCATTGCTACCCTTGTCACTGTTGTTGTTCTGAGTGGCTTGGCAAGTTGATGGCCACACGGATCCTAGCCCTTAAGCCAAACTCCTAAAGAGCACACCGCCCAAACCTGAACCCTTGATCCTTGAATTGAAGCCTTCAATCTTGTACACTTTTATAAGTATATGAGCTATATTCTAAACTCCTTAAAGGGGGGTTATGTAGGGGATTATATAGGGGACTGTTGTATGGGTTATTAAGGGGGATACTAGGAGTTTAGACAGTAGCTCATATAATTTCTATACCATATACAGCCCATTATAATGTAGTAGTTTCCATTTTCTTTTCCATTATCCCTAAGATGTAGTATATTATACTATAATATCATACATTTTAGTAGTATCGTTTATAAGGATACTGGGTAGGCCCCTGGGATATTTAACATTTTTCCTATTGGCTTTAATAGGGGACCATATATACCAATACTTTTCCATTGGTTTAGGGGCCAACCTCGTATATGTGTATACACTGCAAAACATGAGCCATAAGAATGAGGCCTCCGGGTGGCCAGTCTCGTCCGCACCAGGACAGATGTTACAATTGACCGTTCCTCAGAAGCCAAGTGAGCTATAGTCTTAACTCCTTAAACGGGGGGATATATAGGGGGGATAATATAGGGTTTAGGGTTTAGGGTTTAGGGTCTAAACTCCTTAAAGGGGGCTATATAGGGGATTGTATAAGGGGCTACTATAGGGGATATTAAGGGGGATACTAGGAGTTTAGACAATGGTACAAGTGGTCTTGGGCCTCAGTCATAAGGTTCCTAAAGGGGGCGGAGGGTAAGGGAATAAGAGGGATTACTAGGTTACCTACCCCCTTTCAGGACATCCTAACTTAGGGTTACTTGGTCATGCTCTGTGGAGTTCATGTTTGCGCGAGTCATTCCAGGGAGATACACTGGGATTACAGCACATGTTGCAGGCGCTATACTAGGCTCGGGGTTATGCGGTGTGGGGTACATGGGGAGACCTGGAGCTTGACAAGTATTACATTCTGCTTGCGTAACTTGCATGCTGAGCAATAACATCATCAACCCTTTATGCTTGGTGTGTTCCATCCACGAACTACCCTACCCCAAACTTGCATGGAACCCAGGAAGCTCTCTTGTCAACGGGCAGAGGTCTACATAGTTCCCCATTTGGGTTCCAAATTAGTTTGGGGGCGGGTGATCTAATGCCCTGCTAGGAAATGCTTTTCTTGATTCCAGTCCGCGAAAAGCCTACCAAGCTGGGTAGGCCCCTGGGATATTTTATATTTTCCCTAATGGCTTGAATAAGGGACCCTAAATACTAATATTTTTCAAAGGGTTTTAGGGGCCAACCCAGCAAGTGAACATGAGGCCCTTCTGCTCCCCGACCCAAGCCAAACAAGATCATGTAGACACTTTGAGCTAATATACTAGAATACTCCCTATACCCTATTATAGTGTAGTAGCCGATACCCTATGATAATGTAGTAACTTCCATTTTTTCCATTGTCCTTATATATCCCTTAAAACTTTCAGAAGGACTGACGCCTCAAGCCGATATAGATGGAACACCTTTCATGCCTCAGACTGGACTGCTTCAGGTCGCCCCGGACCGGGCCACGCTTCAAATAGGCGCTGCCTTGGGGTTAGAGTAAGTAGGTCAGTGGGATAAGGGCTACTATATGAGTTTCAGGGATTGTTAACTTTCTTCCTGGACTAAAGGTGACGGTTTGGAGAAACTGCCGGGGAAGCGGCAAGTAGCGCCGTGTTTAGGAGGCTCTGTTCAGGCGTCTCAATGCTTGCTTACTCTGAGGATCCTGATTGAAGATGACAGATAGGATTCCTCTATATCCCTTGTGCCAGTAAAGATGGTGCTCCATCCCAGTTCATGATTCCAGGCCCCCCCTTGTGTACAAGTGGATCCAATCTTTTCTGTACATGCCCTTACATTAGAGTACATCATATTACATTATAGTACATTATACTACAGTATAGTACAGTCCAGTACATTATATTACATTATAGTACATGATAATACATTATAGTACATTATAATACATTATAGTACATTATAGGACATTATGCTACATTATGGTACATTATTGTACTTTATAGGACATTATAGTACATTATAGTACATTATAGTACATTATAGTACATGATAGTGTCATCCCGCACCGGCCTGTCATCCGGACGGTTCAGATTACACTGCAATATCTGGGTAGCGATGCCTGCTACTTATGGGCATACGGGGGATACTAAAAATCCTGCATGACCCTAAGTACTGTATACCTTGGGAACTATGGTACTATAGTATACTGAAGTCATGCAGGTTTTTAGTATCAACAGTATTCCAGGGCTTCTTCCTGCGAAGACATCGCTCTCAAGTCTCCAATCTAGGTCCCTTTGTGTTACCTGCTGACACTCAGACTCCTCGTTGGGAGCTTACTTCAGCAGGCCCATGTCTGCCGCAGCTGGTAGCGCAACTCATGAGGATACCTGAAGCAGATAATCACAACACGTCAGGTTGCGGACTGGACAAGTGTTTCAGTCTCCGACAGACAGACATCTTGCGATTTGAAACTCTACATATCAAGCCGGCGAACTCACGACTTTGATACGTTTGGAAGAGAGATCCCTTATAATGGAGTGGTACAACAGAGGGATAGGGCGCAGGCATGTGGCTACCTGTCCATTGTACTTGGTGAAATATCCTTTGCTTGTGGTAGAAGTCTAGCAAGTGTCCTTTCTTGTTGTTGAGAACCTCCTGGGACCAATGCGCTTGTCACGCCTGGCTCCTTTGTTGGTGGTTGGCAGCTACGCTCAGAGCTTTCGGCCCGGGCACACCCCGCCGGAATTGACACCTGGCCAAAGTCGTGGAGCCAAGGGTAAACAGAAGCGATTAAAAGTAGTTAAACGGAAGCTGCGAGAAGATGGTAGTTTCCGTGTTCAAAATGCAAGAAAACTACGTGCTTGCTTAAAGGAAGACTACAACAGTGTGCATTTTCAAATTTATGAGAGACTTATGTAGTGGTTTAGTTTTTTGCGTCAATGACTTGTGCCTTAGGTATGGGCTCTGAACTTGGTTTGCCTCATGGGACACATTACATAAGCAGATTCTATGCTGGCATGCAAGGGCACTAGAAGAAGACTAGGACAATGCTCTTTGAATGTTGACCTAAAGATTTCTAATTTCAATATGGGAATTTCTCCAGGTAGAGCTGCACTTTGCACTTTGGATACTCGAGATTTGTGGTTGCATGACCATTGTGGGGTTCCGCTTCGTGGTGTTCTCAGATAGCTGTATACATGAGCTTGCCCCGCTGCAAGTGGTAGTTTCCCAAAATTTGGGGTACCTTTTGAGGGGTACCCAATATTGTGGGGTTTGTATTAGAATACCCTAATTTGGGAAACTACCAACTCACTACCTTAGGATCTGGGTGCCTCTGAATGCCTCAGAGATTGAAAGCGTGCTGGAGCTGCTTCGGGAAGATGAGGCGAACTGGTATTTCGTGCCTGTTCTAGGAGAAAGCGACACTCCAAAGGCACATCCCAAGGAAGTGACAAAACACCTTGCAAAGGTGGGCTCTTACATCTATGGGCCCAGCACAATTTACAGTGGCCATTGTCCAGGCTTCCGTGGACAGGATGAAGCTGGACTGCAGCATCACAAGGTACTTAAAGACGAGTTGAATGAAAAGCTTGGCTGGATGTTTGATCGTGTTAAGAAAGCCCTGAAGCAAGCAGTGGCGCCCGACGAGATCGATGATGTGTGGATCACATATCCTTATGTGACGAAGCTGTTTTAGAGCATCCATTTTGCCTGTTTGGGCTCAAGGTATCTGACCCGGCAGCTTCGATTCAAGCCGGGCTCCATTTGTTTTACGGCCAGGTGAAGATGCATCGTGGAGATACTCTTGACGGCCTCCCAGCTGCCATTCGCAAAATGGCCCTGAGCCCGGCGCCGCCACACAGAGATGAACAGTTCAAAAAGTGCCTTGCCAGGGGTAATTAGGTTGGAGAATAGATTGAACATGTCAGGTACTACAATCCCTACACACTCATGTCGAAACGCTTTCTTTTAGGGGTCACTCTCGCTGGGTGGATTGCCGAGCACGTTGATGAGCTTGAAGCACTCCGTTTCTTGTTCAATCAGTGGAAAACGAATTGCAAACGATTATGGAAATCGCCAAGTAGATGCAGAACAGCAGTATATCATCAGGCTACTCGAAAATATTTTTGTTTTTTCTGGATGTTGGAGAAAGAGGCACATCGATGAGGAGGAGCAGGATTCGGCCCACACGCTGACCTTCACTCTGCCTCTGCAGGTTCCTACTGGTGGTGCGAGCTTGCGAGTGTATGACTGCTATTATGACAAAAGCCTCCGAAAGGTTGTGGACCACACTGGCAGGGTATTGCGCCAAAGCAGCGACTACTGCCGCCAAAGCATGCCTTACGAAGACGTTGCTTGGCGGAATTGCAAGAGTTGATGGTGACTTCGGGGTTTTTCATAATTGATGTCGGCCTATGGCCTTCGGAGATGTCTGCCAGATTTGTGCCAAGTCCATGGTCTTCAGAACCAGGAGGTTTTGACAAGCAATCTTAGTAGTGCAGATCCATCTGCCACTTAGTCACACTCAGGTGCCTTACCTTCCGGGCCGCATGCTGCTATTCTCGGGTGACCAGCTCCATGCTGTTGGCCCATACACGAATCCCACCTCATCAGACCGGCGAATCGCATCTTGTCAAATTGTGAAGGGTGGAAGGGCATTATGGAAGAGTTATGTTGCCGTCGCGGCCGAAGCACGTTGTCCCCTCCAATCGGATGGGAATGGAGTAGTGGCTCTAGAATTTCAACCGATAAAACACGCCAAACTTTGTCAATCCCACCTTTTGTTGGTGCGCCAAGTTTATGTAATGCCATGGGTAGGAAATCCTAGCGTTCAAGAATTTTTGGTGACGAGCAGAGCAGGTTTTGTTTGATAGCTTTGCCACGTGAGGTGCTCCAAGGGCACGGCATCTTCCGGGACGGCAAGTGGAGACTGTTCGGATAGTGGGGCGCGAAAGCACATGGAAGCAAGTTCCTCAGCTGCAGCCGCCGCGAGAACAGCCCGCTTCAGGATTCGTCTATTGCTTTCGCTTGCACAGAGAAAGCGCGATTGCCGTTCGTTAAGTCCATCCGCAAGTATGGCTCCTTCCATAGGTTTCAACTGCTGTGACCGTTCTTCGGTCTGATAAAGCTAAGCGAATTGGATTAGGTAAGCCGGCATTCACGATTGCTTTGGCGTGTCCACTTTGAGCTTGTGCAGGTTTTTGTGGCGATAATGTGCTAGAACCCCTACAGTGGATGGAGGAAATCTTGCACCACTTAAGATCCCTGATAAAGTGTCATTCCTAGGGTATGGGATGCATGCGGTGGTGCAAGATTTCCTCATGTCGCTGTAACAGCTCTGGGGGTTAGTAGGGTTTAGGGTTCATAGGCGTTATATAGTGGAGAAGAAAAAGGAAACTACTACATTATTATAGGGTATATCTTGGGGTTATAGTAGGGAATAGGGGAACATGTCTACAAGGATTGTATAGGGATTCTGTTCCTTTGTTCACTACTAACCCAACCCCCAGTAAGACAATTTTGATCAGCTCCGGCTGGCTCCGGCTCTGACCAGTTGAGGGAAGGCTTTGGTCGAGGAAAGATATACTCCAAATCACAGCTGGATAGCACGCAGTGGCAGTCCATGATGTTCCTCGCATAAGGGCAGTTATCAAAAGGGTCTCCTGACAACCCCCCGCCCCAAAGTTGGAGACCCCCCAAAGATCCACGTTTCTCAAAGCCTATGAGCCCTAGGTGCTCAAACTCTATCTTTCCCTTCATCCCTCTTTGCTCCGTATGGTTTCAATGGTGTGGAGTTTGATCTATCCTATGAAGTTTTCGTGGCAGTGTTCAGCTCCAGTAAAATACCTACCTCCCCAAATAATTTCTTACCTCCTTACACATCACCCACCCCGTTACGGTTTTCTCAACAGTAGTGAGGCGGGGATGTTTGTCATAAGAGCGCGAAGAGAATATTGCGACTGCATGCGAGCTATAGTCTAAACACCTGACAGGAGGTCATATAGGGGATGATGTAGGGGAGTTTTATAGGGATATTAAGGGGGATACCAGGAGTTTAGACTAGACTATAGCTCATGTGAAGCATGCAAAAGACCACATGACTTGGCGAGGCCCTCAGCGGGCGATCTTCTCCCGGCCCTTCACAGGACCCCAGGAGGTGGGAGGAGCCTAGTATTTTTGGAAGGGTCTTTTCAGTGGCTATATGTATGAGATAGAGGTCTGCACGCGACATGCTGTTCAGGATTCTGGTCTTGAGTTCAAAGTAGGGAAGTAAGTACTGAACCGTGCAGGACCAGGGTTCAGGGCTTAGGCATTTTGGGCTTCAATCTTGAGCCTAAAGAACGAGACTACACTGAGATCTCCTCTTGGGTCTTGAGGTTCAAGTGCATAGAGCAAGTGCGCCACAGAAGAAACCGCACAAGCAAAAAGAACAATAATGGTCACGTTTCAGCTTAGACACTTGGAACTGGCAATAATGAGAGCAATCACAATGAAAATGCCAAAGCATGCATAGATGAGTAACAGGACCAATCATTATCATGTGATGTTGTTGTTACTGTAGTGCAGGCCATAAACAGCCCCGAAGTATGCGACATCTACCGTATACTTACACGCAGCCAAACCACACGGATCTACACCATGGCAGCAAGACCGCAAACATTAAGAGGTGGCGTCACATGAAGGAAGACAAGAGGGAGACAACAAGGGCCAAGGCATCCACAAGATTTGATACTTTTTGAGAATCCTTCTTTGAGTACAGGTGGAGCCGGATCCGTCGAATGATGGCCCCCTGGCTGGCTGCACATTCACAGTCTGCGCCCGAGCATTCCTCCTTAAGCCATGCCTCTCAAGGATGGTCCCTTCTCGTCCGCAGCCATCGTCTCGCTTAAATGGAACAACTGGGAGCAACTTTTCCAATGCAGGGCTTCACAGTTGGACGTTTCTCAAAACAGGCGTACCCTGGTGGCCTTGGGGACGTAAGGAGATCATGCTAGAGTTTCGTGGGCCTCTACTGGGGAAAAGCCTGAAGTAAGGCCGTCGTGCGACAATTCGCTGTATAGACCGCCATCTGGAGTGAGGTGACTATCATTTGCCTAGCATGAGGATTTAGGATTCAGGATTGACTGTTTAAGGTTCGGGGTCTGTGGTTTATGGTCCACGGTGCAGGTTAGGATTTCCAGCCTGTTTTAGTCGACTTCGCACAAGGTCAGTTGCTTCAGATCACCAAACCTTGAACACCGCAAGTTCCCAAACTTTGAAGCCCTGTAGACCTTGTGGTCTAAACTATGAACCCCGAAGCCCCCAAGCACTAACAAGTCCGAAGCCACTAGACTCTAGTCTCTGACTCTAAGCCCCATATTGAGTCTCGCAGCCTTATGTTATCTCTACAGCTCCCCACGGTTTGATTGAAGGGCTGAGGAACCCCATTTGGTAGTTTCCGTAAATAGCGGGACCCCAATATAACCACATATAGTATAATCCTTATTATAGGGACCCCCAAGAAGGGCCCCCTAGACATCCCTGTAACCCTATATAACCCCCTTAAAGGGACCCCTTCCCTAGACTCCACCATTAAGCGAGCTCATGCGCTGTCCAGGGCAGGACCGACGTCTCGCAGGCGAAGCCTGGATTCCGGTAGCCAGCTCCTAAGTCGCGTGTTTAGGGTTTAGGGTATTGGTTGGGTCATTCCCCCTCCCAGTAACTTTCCTTAAAGGGGCCTTATTCAGGGCGTTCTTATAACTCCTATAACCCATTGTGGTAACAGTTACTGTAAGGGGGAATGACCCAAGGTATTGGGATGTTAGGGATTGGTAGTTTCCGGAGATCGGGGTCAACCCCCGGATGCGGAAGAGTCAGGGTTTGGGATTTTGGGTTTGGGATTTGGAGGTTAGGATTTAAGGCTTGTAACTTCAGAAGTGGAGTGTAGGACTTTGGGTTTCGGGATTGGGGTCGAGCGCAGTGTTTTTGAAACCTGGGCCGTTTGTTTTAGTCCTGAAAGCAGGACGACGTGCAGTGTTGCCATCGATATCCGATTGCTGAAGCACACCTTTATAGAGCTCACCTGACACGGCTTGGCAATTTTCTTGTCTTCACGCAATGGGTAAAGCCTGAGATCTGAACGGAGGGAAACCCATAGTCATCTTCGACGTGAGACACCACTGTCAGTATTTGGGGGAGCTAGAGTAGTAGAAGGCAAGTCTGCAACCAAGACCTCCAAGCTTGTTCGGCAGGTGGTATAGCTGTGTCTCCACTGAGGCGTTGCCATATTTCTCCCCTTGCAAGAGACCTCTTGACATCTATGAGCAGGCCCAACCAAAGAAACTTTGCCGCTCTTTGAGGTTCATGCAGGCATGTCTGAAACCAGACGCTTCCCATCCATGCTCCCAGAACCATGATGTCGGCAGTACAACTACCAACCCTTGTCTCGAGCATCTCTTGCTGAGGTGACGTCCGTGGTTTGTGTCACCGGTTTCACAGATTTCAGTCATTTGCCCAGTAGCTTAGGAGCTTAATCCAAAATCGTATGAAGAAGGATGCTGCAGCCTTCTCAACCCCCCTCCTGCATGAAGTGTAGAAAGTTTGCTACCATCCTGTAAGGGCCCTCCCCTGTTTGTTGCACCTTTGAAGTACGCTTAGTTGTTGTAGGACCAACGTTTGGGCAGGGCCGTTGCGAGACAAAAGGCGCTGTGATGGTCTTGGCAAACTTTCAGTCTTTTCTTGAAACTAGAGTTGCTCTGAAAGCCCCAAAGTACAGGCACTTGAGCAAACATCAGTGATGTGTTGGGAGGCCGTAATTCTTGTCGATCATCTGCAACGCATGTCTCAAGGGGTGCAACGTCTCACCCCCATTGTTCATGATAGTTTTGGGGTAGTAAAGTCGGAGCAGGAAACGGGAGAGTTACGGGAGCATCTAGCGTAATTGATCCTGCAACATGTAGATGGCAGCCCCAACCCCTTAGCCAACTCGACACTCCAGCCAATTATGTCTTTCAAGCCTACTCTTTCAATCCTGATGGATTCGATTATGGCGTGGCTTGTGCAGGAGGCGCTTTGGTCGGCAAGTTCTGACCCAACCTCCGTGACAAGTTTTTCGCAGGGATCCTGTTAATGTACAGCATGGCAAGCAGAGCAGCTGCCATGATGACAAGAGGGCTCTGTTTCTGGCTTCTGGCTAGCTTGGCGAAGGCTTCTGGGCCCCTTGATCTCTGGGTCCTCTGGACGGACCGCGATGGGGCCGACTTTTTCTTCACCTCCAGCTCCTGCTCAACGGTTGCCCTGCCGGATGCCAGCATCACCAATACTGAGCCTCCAGCGCCGCCTTCCAACGGTGGAATTAGCGACATGCTCTTCTTTGCGGACACCTTCGAGTTTGTCTTCGTGGAAGGCGGGAAGTTGGTCCGGGCCTGGATGGACAAGACCGGTCGATTAGAACTTGGCCACTTGCCAGGTGATGCCCCTGCATCAATCGTGTGGAATACCACTGGCACTGGTCCCAGTCTGGGAGAGGAGGGGGCCCTGGCATGGACCCAGGATGCTGGCATGGCTATGGTGTTCTTTGCGTCGTCATTAACCAATAAGCTTTGGGTTTCAAATTTGAGTTCTGTTCCACCTCGAGATCCTTCGCACTTGGGGCCATGGATGGAAGTGTTGCAGGGTGCCCAGGCCACAAGCGCCCGGCCCCAAATCCCAGTGCTACTGGCCAGGGACGGCATTGTATTCTGGAGTGACAGCACAGCACTTAAAAGATGGAACGCAGTGGATGCTTTAAACGCTGCGGGTGGCGGTGGCACTGCGCAGGGTTCAGCGTTGGCCCAACTTGGCTCTGGATCGGATGAATGGGGAGAGCTCCTGGTAGCAGAGGCCACCCATGATGGAGGCATCCTGTGGATTCTGGGTGCTGGGTAGTAGACTTTGTTGTAACAGAATAGGTGACTTTGGCCG